AATCTGAAGCCCATAAATTCATGTTGTCACAATGTAACTTTCCAGCAAGACAGCACCCCTGTAGCGCGTATGTATACCCGTGCCTTTTGACACTTTCAATACTGCTGCCAACTGTCATCTGTCTCTCATACATGCCCTTCCTAGTCACAGCCTGGCTTTGTTGATGGAAGTTCATCTTGTGCACCTTGAAGAAACTCATTACTGGGAATGCGGCTGAAAGCCAAGGAGTCGACTGCCTCGGAGGAACCAGAGATGCAGGATCGAAGCGACATAAAGCTTAAAGCCCCCACTGCACCCATGCAGAGCCGGTACACACATCTCAGAGATGCCTTCACAAAAAGCAGCTTAGGCAAATGCGCTCAGCCACATGGCAGCATCCTGAAACAGCTCCAGCATGAAAAAGCGGTGTTGAAGCATGCAGAGCTTCTGACCCGCCCGGCTTCCACATGCCCAAAGATTAGCACAACTCATGTCAGGCCTTCTGGTTCAACCACCCATCCAGCTGTGGGCGAACTTTTCGTTGCCTACGTTGCAGCCGGTCAACAACTCTTCTACGCTGCCTGCTTTCCTTTGCCTTGGATTTCAATTGCCCTCCCCATGCATTCGCAAACTGCCCAGAGCGAGGAAGCCTTGACAGTGCTTCTGTCAGGCTGCAGACGCCCTCCACCTGCCCAAGCAGACAGAATTCAGGAATATCCCAACTACTCTCATTATTACGATGATTATTACTCTACTTTTTACAACTACTACGGTTATTATTAACTACTCTTATTGTTACTATCATTCTTACCATTAGTGTTCATTATTGTTACTACAATCCCAGGAGGTTTCAGAAGTGTTTCACGGCTTGGTCCTGGGCGGGTCAACAAGGCCAGCCACGGCTCTGGAACCCCTGAGCTACTCCTGGGCCCTGTACCATTATCAGTGGTACCTTCAGAACTTCATGGCATGTGAATAGTGGTCATAATGGTAATAATAGTAACAATAGTAATAGTAGTAGTGATAGTAATGGTAATTTAGTACTAATATAGGGCTAACATGGCAATAATATAGTAACAGTAGTAACAATAATAATGGAAACAATAGTAATCATAATGACAATGCAGACCTTTTTTTTTGGGGCTCCGTGTAGGAACGTTTGACGGTCGACTGGACCGAGGCCTTCGAGGGCTCGGGGCTGTGCAAATGAGAAGCCGACTCATTTGAGCCACTGTCTAAACTCCTAGCATCCCCCCTTCGTAACCCCTCAGATACTTCCCTTTATAATCACCTGTAGCCCATGTAACCCCCCGTAAGGAGATTGGACTATGGCTCACATCTGATGGATAATTCGGCCGTATGAACCGAACCAAACCAACTTCAAAACTTTCCCTGCCTAGCTGTCCTTGACGCTTGGCCATGGTGAAACACTTAACAGGCAATTCCATGCGTGCACCTGCACGAAAGCAAACGGCTTATAGAAGCCATCATCTTGCAGTCAACACTGCAAGTCTATGCAAGAGGGTCCTTGACAAAGTCAGTTGGTTACTGGGCAAAGGCCTCTTCAGGCCTCAGAAGTCTTCCTTGAGACTGCTTGGGAATTGAGTGCGCCCGATAACACGGAGAAAATGCTGTAGCGTGCGTCACTTGCGCTGGATCCAGATCTGCCAGACCGCCCAGAGCGCAGGCTTCGCACCCTGCATGGGACTGTAAGGGCTAAAAAAAGTAAAAAGGCTGGTAGGCAAACAGTTCATGGCATCTACAAATGAAGCAGGGGAGCACTGCTGAGGGACCTTTGGGAGGACAAGAGCTGCCCTGGATCCGCAAAACTAATGCTGGAACAGGTGCCGCTCCTGGTAACATCAGTCAACTCCATCGACTGATCAAGGCGGAAAACCTTAAGATGTTCCTGGGCGGCAGGGCTCCTTTGGTTTCAGAAGGCATCCCATGCAAGGCTATGCAACGTGAGAGGCAATGGTGAGCTTTGCCTTCAGGAGACTACAGCTAGATACACAGCGGAAATGGTCAGGTGCACTGCGGACGCCCCTGATCAAACAGTGCCCAGATGCTGCGACTTTGTTGGGCTTGGTCTTTGTACCCTTCTTCGTGCTGCGATCACTAAGCCTTAGCCAAAACTTGTGAGGTTACAGCGCCGAAAGCCAACCTTGCAATCTCTTTGGGCAGGGCACAAATGCAATGCCGAGGTGAGCTTGTGATCCAGCTGCCTCAAGTCAGCCTGCAGGGCCACCTGCATCAAGCTTAGGTCGGCTTTGAGCCAGAGAGGCGGCTTCCTGAGAGCGGTGCGCTACGCCCTTACGCCGTGATGCTCTTGCCTGGTCAATCGCTCTGGCTGGGCCTTTGCAGCGTAGAACGCCATCGATAAACTCCTCATCAGGGAGTTCCATGCAGCAGGTATACCCCCTGTCAGCAAGCTGGTTTTGCGATGCATCCTCCATGGTAACTTCGCCGTCGCCGTTGTCCTTATTGCTTGGGCTTCGGCGTGTCCAACCATGCAGCGGGCAAAGCTGCAAAAGCTTGTAATTTCATCAGCAACCAATAGGCTTGACTCATGGGACCCCGAACTTTGAACTCTGGGCAAAGAAACGTCTCAATCCAGGATAATGCTGTTGAAAGAAGAAAGACTAGCAATGAGCGTGCCACATCTGCCCTTTCATGATTCTCTTTAACCTCGACCTGCATTGGATGGCGGCACGGTGAATTTAAAAAGACTTTGCCAGAAGGTGGCTACTTGAATTTAAAATGGCCTGCCTCATTGAGGTTATGAACAGTTTGCATGAACACCGCAAGCGCAGAAACAGCACGAGCCTTTTCTGTTACAACTGTGGCACTTTTCAAAAAAATCACAAGTTCAGAAGCTTACCCTTGGTCAGCTGGGAATGCAGGTATGGAAAAGAAATGGCAACTACACTAGGTTATATAGGGACTACTACAAAGATCCAACTAAAGGTAAGGAAGTTGAGCCCCTCGGCCAGCTGCCAACATCTCCTTAAACTCTCCCTACTAGGTTTTGGCATTGGCTTGTAACAACCCGACTTCTGACCCTAAACTTGTGGATTCTTGCCCTACTGAGCCTCTCACACATGGAGCATGTTTGGCAGCTGAGGTGCCAGAATGTGGAAAAGCGCTGTGCCCTCCGGCACAGCCAAGTCCAAAGTTTCAAGGTATGCGCGCACGGTCCTTAGCAGATAAGCTGGCCGCAGAGCATACCACATCACACTAGAATGCATCATGCATCTTCTCATTAATTGTTCTGCGCACAGCATGACAGGGCCGCACCTTACAGCATAAGGGAACATCCCGTAGCACAATAAAGTGGTGGTACCCGATACGGCATAACATGGACAGCGTGAACCTGCGACATGCAGCCTGATCATCTGGCAGCCATGCGTCGAATTGCTGAGCAAAGCATTCAGGCGCTCCTCGGTGATCATGCCGTTGCCTGTCTCATCGATGGCCCAAAACATTGCTTCCAGCTTTTCGACCTTGGCACTGCGACTACTGCGGTGTTGTTGCCGGTGACGGCCTAGCTGATGGGCTTGCCAAGCTGCATACTGCGCCTTCCGCTTTAGCTTCTCTGTGACTTGATGTTCTGCATCATTCTGAGCGGCTTCCAAAGTGTCCTCCATCAGCGAAGCTTTCCCAACTATTTCTTTCCAAAAGAGCCCAATCCATCTACGCAAAGCTCCTTGAGAAATACGGCCGTTATCACGCGAAGAGCAGCGAAAGTTATAATGGTGATGTATAACACGAAGGGTATCCTTGTTGAGTGCCGGCTGCTGAACTGGCATGGTGGGAACAATTCAGCACAAACACAGCCAAGGAACACAAACAGATCACTGACATTCTCAAGCACAGGACGAATGTTTGTAGGCCAATTGCCTTGACAATGCGCTGCACGGCGGCTGACATTCATGCGCGGCTGCCCGTCCCTACAGCTCTATCCAAATGTGGGACTGCTCAACATATACGAAAGACCATGTACAACTGGATCGAAGTACGTATCAAGATCTAGGGCATACTATTGCTTCTCCAGCTGCGTCAATACCACCAGTACCAAACAAAGCCGATGAAATTGCTGTGGATCATAGGGGCTTGGAAGGGGTTGAGGATCAAAAAACAAATAACGAGAAAAAAATCTGAGGATCAAAAACAAAAAGGGATCAAAATGGCTTGGGTGATTTCGCGAGGCCTGCTTGGCCGCTCCCAGCTTGTCCGAACGAGCTTGCCGAGCTCGAGCACAGACCCTATCCTTTTTCAGGCTTTTCAACTTCGCCCTGCGCTTCTCCAAGAGCTTCTTGGCAGCCGCCCTGCGGCTTGAGCCCACAACTTCTTACGCGTACTGAGCTTAGCTGGTTTTCCTCCAAGGCGCTGCAAATTCCTACAGTGCTTTCTGTGGCATCAAGTGCACTCGTGTGTGGGCACAAAGTTGACTTTCCCTTGCTGTTGTTTTTTCGCCAAGACACGGGCCCGAGCGAGATCTGATGCGCACCCGCCCACCATCCCTCTCACAGTGGGCTTCGTATATCCTGATCATGGCCCTGACCCGCTTTTTGCCCCATTTCCATGCTTGGAGGAAAGCCCGCATGTCCTTGTCTTGCTTCACACGCACACTAGCCCATCCCACCGACCGTGGCACGTCCCTAGGTTGGCACGGGTTGATGGCGAAAGCATGGCTGTTCTGTTGCAGGAGCTTGCATTTGGTGCGCGTGAGCTTAATGACAGACACATTCATCAAACCCTCGTCGCCTGGCTGGCCACTGTAAACAACATCGTGACCCTTAGCCCTAGCGGCAGCCAAGCGCTGCTCTCTCCACTCCGGCTCGTGCCAACTTCTTCTGTTGCAAAAAGACTGTCTGACTACCTTAGGCCCTTTGCGAGACCTCAGTCTCCGGAAGTTTTGCAGCTTCGTGACTTTAGGCTGGCACTTGCTCATGTGGTGGTTGATGCTAAAGAATCGCTGGTAATCACCAGGCATGTGGGGCAAGGCCTTCTTACTTGTTACATGTCCAGCTGAGCCTTCCTTGAGGTGAGTATTCCCCGAACTCGCGCTGCGCTCGGGCATGGGCTGGCTCAGAGAACAGTTATCCTGGCATCAGAATTTTCAGCAGCGCACTTGTGGGGAGGACGGGTCCTGCCCCTTTTGTCACGACCCCCAAGGGTTTTGGCATCACATGATGTGGGAATGCCCGGAAAACCCCGCTGGCGTGGCTACGCCGGGCAATGCCCTTACCAGACGTCTAGGTTGGATAACTAAAGACCCTGAGAGTGCTGCTGCGCTTGCACATATGTCTGCCATGGACCATCCGGCATTGCAATGCTGTAGGCAGGGGCCAGTAAGGCCCAAGTGTGTGGGAGACTCATGCTGAGACATGAGGCTCTCGTTCGATCGTTTCATGTTTTCCTCCTCTTTCCTTTGGGCGGGACCTTCGTTCTTCTCCGGGGTCGGGGAGGGCGGGCAGAGTGAGGCGGGCTGTGCTGCAGTTGTTTCGCACCCTCTTGCTGTCTGTAACCTGACCTGTCAGGAAAGGGAAGCTAAGGACATGGGAACACGTCCTTCTTTTGCATGCCGGCAGCACCGGCACCTACAACTTCCTAGTACTACTACTACTACTACTACCACCACCACCACCACCACCACGACTACTACTACTACTACTCCTACTACTACTACTACTACACTACTACTACTACTACTACTGCTACTACTACTACTACTACTGCTGACCTCTGTGACTTTTAGTGTTTTCGCTCGACTAGGCTCGCCTTGACGGCTGCTAGAAACAAGCACTTGGAAAAGTGCCACCCCGACGAGAAACACCTGGTCAATAAGTTGCGTAAAGAAGCCCCCGCTGTTGTTCCGGTGCAAGACTTGCCCTGGAAGAAACGCTGCGGATCTGAGGCCGAGATAAAGTCCCTGAACTCTCCAGCTTCGTGTCGATCAGATTCGATATAACGAACAAAGGCCTCTCTGCTGAACTGCATTCGCAGGGCATGCGCCTGCTGTTCCTGAGTCTGTCTACTGTTCAAATGCAAGTCAAGTGTGCGCTCCGCCGCTGGAATCATTCGATACCATGGGTGAGGAGCACGCCAGCGTCAGGAAGTCTTCCACCCAGCAGTGCTCTTTGAGCTGCCTACGCAGCAGACCTAAGGCCGAATGAGGCCTGTTACGCCACTCCATCTCCTGTCCTCGTGACGCAGCTGCGCCATGCGCTTCCAAGCGGGCGCTAAAACAATCATACCTAACTAAGGAGTGGCGCCATAAAATACCTTACGAAGGTTACGTGAAGCTACCATGCCAGAGCGACAGCTCTTACTGAGAAGCGTGAACAGCCTCTCACAGCTGCCCTGGGTCGGGGCTCGGCCTATCCAGCGTACGAGGCTACACTCAGCACGAAAGCCTGGTGTGCCAAGAGGCACCTTTCCCACGAGAGTCCTGCTCCTGTCAAAAGAGCGGCTCCTTGCGTAGCGACCTGAAGTCGCCACTCTGGAACGGTAATGTCTTGTTTGACCCGCTCGGGGGAGCATTTAGGGCAAGGATGGCACGAAACTCTCTACCCTAGCGCACAGCAACGCGAGCCGTAAATAGGAGGAAAGAACAGCAGAATGGTCCTGAACTTGACATTCGACCGTGTTGACCCCTGAGGAGACCCACAAAGAAAGAACAAGCGGAGAGCCTCATCATGCGTGTGTCCTTGGTAGGACACGTACCTCAGCTGTTTGCCCCACGTCTGAGCAAGCAGGTTGAGGAGGGGCTGGAGAAGCTTGAGTTGCCTCATGGCTTCAACAGAAATGCTACGCAGCATTCTATCATAGGCGGAGGACCGGTCAAGGCTTGCAAAGTAACCGCCTTGTTTGTCAAAGCGTCTTGCAGTTTAGAGGCCCAAGCCTCTGCGCTGTCACTTCCTTTACCGTAGGAGATACTGGGATGGAAATGCTGCTTAGCACAGTGCCGCAGCTGCTCATTCTTGATCCAGGCAGATGCATAGAGCCTCAAAAGATACTACACGCGGCTGTGTTTAACAGCTAGAGTCCCATCGAGGAGCGCCTTGCCTGGCTTAGCGAGCGTTATTTGGCAGGCTTCTCGTAGCTGACTGGGCAAAAAAGCCCAGTGGTCCCACTCCTGAGTTAGCGAGAAAAGGAGCCGCGCGGCCTCTTCCGCGAGATGCTGAATCTCCTCGATTCAACTAAAGTGCACACAGCAGTGCCCATATCAGGCTTTTGCTCAGTCCAAACAGTTTTTCAGTGCTCACAAACCATAGAAGTGGCTTGCGCCCTAGTCTCAGCATACTCACCCTGAAAGCAAAGCCGGGCGTCATGGGTGGAATTAAGCCTGCCCTTGAGCCAGCACCCAAGTTTGGCCAAAGAACCCTGATTCATATCAGTCTTCCACTTATGCATGCGAGCCCTGTCCTCCGGAACTTTCTGCTGGGCCTTAACAGTCTGGATCTCTTGGGAGGCCCAAGACCGCAGGTCCTCATGTTGCCCGTTATTCGGCCAACCGATTCTTTCAAGGAGGCGGTCTGCTATATGGGCTTGCCCACTTCATGTAGACGGGCGAGTTTGCGGCGAAGCTTCCTGAGGTGCTCCCTCAACGGCACTGCGGGCGCCCTCTTGCACCCACTGAAAAACAACAGGTCTCCCCTTTGAACCTTAGCAGGACTGCAAGAGGAGCGTGGTAGCCGAGTCTCTAGCAGACCTACTATGATGGTTTTGAGCAGCCTGCAAAGCATTGATGCAGCAGTGGTTAATGCAGTGCATGTACAAGTCCCACTCTCGTTGAACTTTAGAAGCAGGGGAAGCCGGAGGGCTAGCATCGGACAACAGCAGTTCAAGTTCCGAAAACTTAGAGGACGTGCACTCCGCAGGGTGCCAAGCTCAGTGAGCATACTAAGCCATTCTGACTTTTGCGAACCTTCGGGTTTGTGCCACGTGGGGCTGGGCTTAAGGCGACCACACCAAGGGTCTCGAAAGTCAGGCCAGAAATGCGGTGCTCCTGCTCCTTCAAGGGGGGTGACTTCCTCGGCGCCTCCGCCCGGAGGGCTGTAAACATTTGCAACATCGCCTTCGGAATGCCAAGTACCCCTTCAATGGCCTGGGGAGCCACACCGCCTATGGCACACCACCGCTTATGGCTAGACCATTGGTCACTCAGAAGGTTGACAATTGGGGCAGGTACCCGCAACTCCCTCAGAACACAGCAATATCCCGATCCACAGAATCAAAAGCCTTACGGTAGTCAAGAGCCATGACAAAAGGATGAGTGTCCTGACCATAAACTAAGTCCATGGAAAGCACCATCGTCTCGGGGTCACTACCGCCGACTCCCCCCGATTGGTTAGGGCAAGGCAAACAGCCAAATGACTTCTGACACGCTCAAGGCGAACTCGCCCCCCCCCAAGCCCTGTAGAGGACGGACGAGATGGCCACAGGGCGCAAGTCTTCCAGGTTAGGGATGCCAGGCTTCCCCTTTGACAGAAACACTAGCTGCCAGTGTTTCAAGAAACTGGGCCACGCGCCATGGTCCTCAGTAAGAAGAAAGAGGTGGCACAGCTCCTGCAACGCCGCTGGGAGCTTTAAGAGCAGCTCTGCTGTCCATCCGTCCGTACCTGCAGCATTACCAGCCATGCAGCGCAGAGCCTTTACAACTTCTTTCATGGTGATTGTGGGTAACACCGGAGCCGCGGCCGGCCGGTGCAGAAACTCACCATAGTGCGCTAAGAAAGCCGGGGCCCTCGACACACCGCTGAGCTTTGCCGAAAATGTTTCCCCACCTAGCCTTGAAAGCCTTGGCAACCCTCGGTCTGTGAGCAAGGACTTCCCCCTGATCATTTTTTGCAGCGTAAGTGGTGGCCATATCTCGTTTGGCCCAAGCACAGGCGTGCTTCACATTACACATGCGATGCTTCCAATCCTGCACTTGCCGTTGCTGTGTCCTAGGGCCCCGCAATAAGGCCCGGACCAAGGAGTCCGGGGCTGCCTTGCATGGACCGAGGACATGATCTCGTCTAGTTTGCTCAGTTGTTTCCTGAGTATGCCCGCAAAGTGGGAGGTGCCCAAGTTTCTCTCTGACATCCAAGTGCCCAGACCGCACGAGCCAGTTCTCAGCCCTATCACACCAGTTGGCCCAGAGGTCCGCAAGAGGCTGGTTGTGGTCTAAGCGGCCTCTCTCCAGAAAACAGCTTTCTACACTGCGTGAACCTCCAGAAAATGTCCCGAGAAGGTGAGTCGCCCCCTAAGCGCACGCAGCTCATGCGCCATGCTATGAACGAACTGCCAGGAAGCAGTAGGCTTGCGATACAAACTAGCAATAACAACAGTCCTGGGTGTCCCAGAAACTTCGGCAACGAGAAAGCTCCCCTCCTGAGCGCAGTCCTGCCTAAGGCGGTAGCCACCCAAGGCTCCCTCACAAGCATGCTCACGCCTCCTTTGCCTGTCCCGGCACGAGGGACATGCAGGAGCTGCCAACCTTTCATTTTTGCCATCACCGACGCAGCCGGTGCGGCCTGCTGGGAAAGGTTGGTTTCTTGCAACAAAACGACATCTACATTGTTGGCGGTTGCCTCCATCATCAAGTCCCCAGCATGCGCACGCCAGGAAGACATGTTGTGCGACCACACTTTGAGGTCCGGGGCTCCACGTCTACGTGACCTACAGGGAGGGCCTGGGTTGGCGGCTTCCCCTACTCTGACTCCTCTGAGGCCCCGACCCTGCACAGCAAGGTCCTGTGCCCTAAGCAGCGCCTCTGAGGCGGCGGCCGGTTTGGCCCGCACAGGACACTGTCCCGCGCAGGCCTGAGTTTGTCAAGAGTCACCCTGCGCTGGGCGACTCTGCCAGGCTTGCTTGGCCGCCCTCAACTTGTCAGAGCGCGCCTGTCTAGCTCTAGCACAAACCTCGTGTTTACTGAGGCCCTTCAACCTAGCTTTGCGCTGGTCACGGAGCTCCTTTGCCGCCGGCTCTGTGTCCACAACTTTTTGCGAACACTCAGCTTTGCAGGCTTGCCTTGGTAGGCCGTACAGACACTGTCCACAAGCATGTTCCTACAGTACTTTTTGTGGCACAAAGAACACTCGTGCTCAGGCAAGTAGTTGATCCTACCTTTGCTGTTGTTTTGTCTCCAAGACACAGGCTCCAGCGAGATTCTGCGCGCTCCCGCCCACCAGCCCTTGGTCTCCAGAGCCTCCCATTGGCTCTTCCACCGCTGTTACATAGAAGTAGCCATGTTCCCGAGCCGCGTTGCCTTGAGGCAAAGGGAGCGCTCTTCCTGAGCGAGCTGGACTTAATGCCGTGCACCTCCCACTCGTGAGTCTTCCTATAGTGTGAGTAGCCCGCCACCCCCGGCTTTTTGAAGACCTGGTACCCACAAAGACCACAAGTCCACCAAAGGACCGGAGCAGTCTGCGGCGGAGCCGGCACAATCGGAAGATTAGGGATCCCTCTCATAATGGGTTCCGAGTAAATCCTGATGGTGTCTTGCTTGCGAGGCTTGCGCAACACAGCAGTAGCACCCTCAGCGGCAGTAGTCAAACCCTTCTTCGGGGTCTTTTTCCCGAACAAACGTTTGCGCACTTTCCTAGCCGGGTGATTAGACCTAGCTTCTGTTCCAGGAACAGCAGCAGAGACTCCTACCGCCGTAGTTCCCTGCATCCAGCCCAAGGTCCCCACATCAGTGTGGACAGAAGGGGTGGCATCTCCTAGATCCCAAAGCTGAGTCTTAGGGCCCCGGCAAATCCCTTTGATACCCTGAGCCAGAGCAGGGCCCTGCGAAGGAACGAACTCTCAGCAAGCAACCGGCTTAGACTCCTGATCGTTCGACCCCTGGTCGTGTCAAGGAAGTCGTGGGTGCCTCAAGCCCCACTCCCACACTATGGACTGATGGCGTACCATCACCCGGAGTGCTAGCGTCCGTAGGTGGCCCTCTAGGGTTAAGTTGGGGACCTGACCCCCTTGAGAGAACACTGCCCCGCCGCGACCGTGTTTCCGGTATGGGAATTCTTATAACCAGGGAGGCCACAAGCCGAGCGCTTGACCAAACCAGTAACGCGTTCATCTGCAGGTGATTCTCTAGGGTCAAGTTGGGGATCTGACCCGCTTGAGAGACTTTCATTTTTGGTTTCATGCTGCCGGTCAGGAACCGTAATTCCGATATTGGAATGCTCATAGCCAGGAAGACCAAAATCCGAGCACATGGCCAAATCGTGTTTCCCATGCCTGGCCTGAGTACCATCCCCCAGCAAACTTCCTTTAGGGGGTCTAGGAAAGCACCCAGGGACCGGTGGATGGCCCATGCTGTCATCCCGCAATGACACAAGTGAGGGAGTATTCTCACCACTACATGCATGCAGCGATGGTGTACCTGCGGTACTCGGCGCTCCCCCTCTCAACACAGAAGCTTTAGGAAGCACTCCCTCCGCCAGCCAAGATTTGGGGATCTTAGTATCCTGGGAAGGCCGCAACCATTGATAGTGCTCGCTGCGTAAGACCACCAGAGGAACAGCACTGCGTGCCAATTTAACAAACCATTGGTTGAAGGCCGGAGCGATGCAGCCTCGCAACCAAACCCCCTGTGACTCATACCAAACGAGTAAGGGGCATCCATGTCGCTTGGAAGGAGCCATAAGAATGATCCCATCTGCCCACGCTCTAGGGTCCGCCATCTCCTCCAACCACTGCCCAAAAGAAGCCTGGTTATCCGGAGTCGGCTGACTTTGGGAGATGGGTTTATCCCTCATAAAAGCCGGCAGGTAGTCATTTTTGTGCCGTCTCAAGTGATCTATGGCCTGAGCTCGCAAAATCCCGCCCTCTTTCCTAGAGGTTTCGGCGTCTAAGACTTGGCCCCCCGACCCAAAATGCTTGGCAGCCGCCAAGACCGAAAAGCAGCAATCGCCGCTCCTTCCCCGATTGACCGCAACCCAACCATCTTTGAGAGCCTGTTGAAACTCACAAGGCACCTCCCGAACGGGGGAACTCATTTTACGCGCAGCGTGGCTACGGGGGGTGAGCAACTCCTCGTCAAAGCCCTCTCCCCCATTCATCTCCTCCCCGGCTTCCATCGTAACGTCCGCAGACTTCTCCTGAGCAGGATCAGAACGGAAAGACTTCCTAGGGGCTTGGGCCCTGAAAGTTTCCTGAGCGATTTGTTGGCGGGGCGCGGCTCGCGTAACAGATATATGCAATCCGGAATCATCAGCGTCCACGTAATGCCACACCTGGAGCCTGTCCCCTGCAGCCTCCTTTTCGTCAGGAGGGGGGCAAGCTCGAAGAATCCAAACAAATCTCTTCCCTTTCTTGCGTCTAGTATTGATGGCCTGGACGCCTGACCATTGCTGCGCCTGAAAGAAAGAAATGACGTCTTCAGAACCCCACTCTCCTGTGAAGCCCTGTGCTTCGATAGCAACAGGGCGATCTGGAGCCCCATCTGATGGTCTACGCAACATTCCAAGGTCAGAGCCACCACCAACTCGCAAACACAAGTGCTGGCCTCTGTCCTTAGCCTGAGCCGTAGCCAGTCTGAAATAGTTTCCTGTGTCGTCTTCTCCCTCAGCAGGGAACCACAGGACTGGTGGATCCGACTCCTTCCGAGCTTGCAGCGGCTTGCAGAAGATGCCATGTACCCCACTTGCCTGAACAAGTTTGCGGGAGACCTCAGAAATAGCACGAATGTGACCCGTAAGCTGCCACTCCTGCTTGAACTTAGTCCATTGCCAGCGTCCTCCGCTGAGACTAGCAATTTGTACAGAACTAGAAACCGCGAGTTTGGACAAGACGTTATCAACACTATCCTCCTGATCCGCAAGGTACAGAGAACGATACTTAGCAGGAGCCACGATCCGAACAGTAACCTTGGGGGCAGGAGAGAACTTGCTGACATTAGCCGTCCTAGCGGGCCTGATGAAAGGGGCCTCGTGAATATTGCCTATAGCAACGTACGTGAGATCCTCAACCCTCCACTGTTGTCCATGTCGCTTAAACAGCGACCTTCCCTTTCAAAGGCGGGATCCCCGCGACACTAGAAGGAGAGATCCCATCAAGCAAAATGGTAGGGGGTTCGTGCCTCATAAGCCCCTTCCATCCATCCCTGAGTTCAAGAGCTTCCTCAATGTGCTGTGCCGCCGATTGGGAATATATGTTTTTCTTTCTTCCTTCTTTGTTTATTCCTTTCTTTCTTTCCTCCTAGGGCTCGGAGCTCCAATGTTTTGTCTTTTTTGATCCATGCTCGGGAGGCTACAAATATTGAGTTTCACTACAAAATACAATATTTGTGATGATCTCTATTTAATTTGTTGATCCTTATTTGTTTTGTTGATCTTTATTCGTTTTTGCCTCCCCTCCCGTTGGATGCCACTTAGTTTTAGTTACGCAGCAGGGCAAGAGCGGCAACTTAAGTCGCTGTGACTTAGTCCAACGAAGGATATAGTTGGCACGAGTGCCTGCTGCACCGAGCCGGTTCATACTTGAAACTAGCTAGCAAGCATGGTGAACAAATGCTTTGGGCTACCAGGATGCCAGCAAAAGTTATCTCGAAAAGCGTGTAGATAGATCGATATGCCGTGCCGTACCGCTGGAACACCCAGCGCTTGTGCTCGGCTGCCAACATGTCGTCCAAGAGGAAAACCTGAAGGGTCTCAGCATCAGGACTCTCAAAGCTCGGTGATTTGGTACAGTATGTGGCTATAGCGGCTGAGTGGCAGCACAGGGATATAAAACTTATGAAGACGTTAATATGAGATCTCAGACTATCCTATTCTTGGAAGAGCGGATCAGCCGCCTGCAGCAGCTGACCAACCAGGAGACCACTCATGACCATGCAGAGCCCAAGCAAAACCATGGACCTTGGCTGAAAGGAGGCCTCTCAGCTGGTCAGATCTCTTCTGTTGCAACTGTCTAGCACACCTGGAAGACATCAGCCAAACATCTGTTCAAAGAATGAGCAACCATCCCAAAGTCGGTAGGAAGGCATGGCAGGCCCGGATCAGGAGCTTCAGACCTCAGATGAAGAAATCTGCCTCATGTCTCCAGGTATCATGGTTCCTCCTTCGTGCGTGTCACTACACAGCAAGGTGGACGTAACCAACCATGTGCCAAAAGGTGTCCACTGAACTTTGGCACACTGCGTGCCAGGCGTATGAGGCAATCAAAATACCGGGCTACTTAATGTGCTGCTGTATTTGCTTGGCTGATGCCTTTGTGAACTTGTGATGATATGAGTGGTGCCAACAGCCTTGAGTTGCGCGTTCAACTTGAAATGATGCTCTCCCAGCCCATGCACTGGACTCTTTCCGTATTCTAGAGGCTCCCACCCCCTGCCTCCCATGAAGGCTATTGGTAGCATAGCCTCTCCAAAAGAAACATAAATTCATGAAATTCAGTTTTGGACGCATTAATCAAAAGCTTCTGATGCCCAGATGCCTCGGAAAAGTCGAAATATCCGCAGCAGGCGGATGGCACGCAGAGTGTGCAGCGCGCGAATGACGTGCACCGCAGCGATATTGCTCTCCGCACCGAGGGTGAAGAACAAGCAGATATCGCACACCCCCACAAGCACCAAAGACATGTCGAACCAATTGGCACACGATCTAAAAAAGCCACATCTGTCAAGTGCGATTCGTAGCAGAAGCTCACTTAGGAATGCAAGGTCGAAGACGACATCCAGGGTTCGAAACACAGGCTGCGAGTCCTGCACCTCCGTCACCAACGACTGGAGTCCCAAAAGGTGCCCTGTTGCTCGCCCTTGTGTCTCCAGTTCCAAACACATGAAGACCAGGTTGACGCCCAGGAGGATCCCGGCAACATAGTTCAGGTTCATGTGCAGCCATCTGGCCAAACTGCTCAGACAGCTGTGACGCTCCTCTGACGCCTTCGGCGTCGACAGCAGCAGCGAATTCCGCGTGGGGCTGATCATACGCTGCAAAGTATCCTACCAGGATGACAGAAATCGTTTGGCAAGAGTTTAATGCGATTATGAGACACCAAAAAGGGGGTTTACCATCAGAAAAGCATTTTCATGACTCAACCGCGATCGGCTATTACTGACGTGCCCCATGCACGTAGCCTGCTCAAGGACTTCCAAAAAATCTACTAGTCTGCAATTGAAGGCTTTGAGAGCACCCAAAGGCCTCAATCCCAAAAGCATGGGCTTCTTCCAGGGCTTCTTCAAGCGGTTCTTTGGGTTCTTGCGCTTCAGATACCTCGCTGACTCCACTGATGTCGCTGGTGTCATTAGAGAGCCTCAGATACCGCGTGCAAACAGCAGTCTTTGTCAGTTTTTTCGACCTCCCGTCGACAGGTTCTGTAAGTTGCGCATTAAGTTGAATAGCGAAGTAATGCGAAGGTTGTCAAAAATCAGCTTGAGGAATGTATTCACAGTCCTGCGCAAAGATCTCCTTGAGCGGGTTTTTGACAACTGGTATGCGTGTTGTCCGTTATCCATGCATTGCTGCTTCGGGGAACGCATCTGGCACGTCTTCTGGCCTGTCGTTGGGTTTTCGTCCTTTGAAGCAGTTGTGCTGCTGGTTCACGCTCATTAACACCGTCATGTAACTGAGGACCCGTCCACAAGTTGATGGACACTGCTTCCATGGTGGAGTGCTGCCATTTTCTGTAGAGATGGTTCGAGCGGCTGCTAATTAGGCGACGGGCTCTAGAAAGTTCAGTGACAAGAGATAGGCATCAGAGCAGTTGCGCAAACGAGCTCTCAAATTCTAGCTGTGCCCGCCCTAAGTCGACTTGGGGCAAAACAACACAGGGAAGCCCAAACGCCCCACGGTACTTCAAGTATCGGCGCGTGATTACTTTGCGCATTTTCCAACTTTGGACATCTTTGGACATGGGGCTGGAGGAACTCCATATTCGCAGTTGGTGAGGGCGGCACAGGATCCGCCTAGCAGGACCACGGAGCTCAGAGGCAGCTGAAAGTGAAAGTACACACAAGCCATGTGTAAAGTCTCAAAGTATTCCACGTAGGCCCCGTCGAGCTTGTTGCATCATATCACATGTAGAAGGACAAGGACGACAAGGAGTAATTAGAGGGCCTGTTCCGCAAGTCGCAAAGGCTGCGAGGGTCGGACCGCAGCCACATTTCCAAACTCCTGTCCCCAGGTGCGCAGGCAAGTGTTCATGCAAATGGTAGAACTCTTGGATTCGAAAGGCCGATCAGTTGAATTGCTGTCACTTACTTTCCACTTCATGCCCTGCCTACACTTTGATCGTCAGTGGTGTGCTAGTCCTATCGTTCGGTTCGGCAAGGAGCACCGTCCCGCCTTGACCAAACCCCCTGGACACCACGAGCGATTGCACTCCTGCGTTTCGCATCATACCGCCAACAATAAGCATAGTGCTCAAGGACGTTTGAACGGCGATTGGTGGCAACTGCAAAGACAGACGGAGGACAGCTCCCAACACGTGAGTCCTTTATGGCTTCTTCAAGAACGCTGAACCGCTCCATGACCTGCGAGAGCCAGCGCCCGTGCTCTTCATCTGCCAACCTTCAGGGAAACCGTGGGGAAGCTACCCCGCACTTGGGAGGCTGCGCAGTACATCTGGAGCTCAGAGCCAAGGTATACAAGAGATACTTCATGCAGAGCTGTAAAAAATGTCCATGAGGAGACCCAGGGTTTCCCCACTGACCACTTAGCAATTTTTCCAGAGTCGCCTGAGCAGCTCCTTGCGAGCAGCACAAGCTTCATCGAGTAGCTTTGAGCTTGCCATTGCCAATTCATGCATGTTTTTTTTTACGAGTAGCTGCCTGGCTTACAAGCTGGCTAAAGACCATTCACCTAGGTCATGACACCCACGACATGCACATGTACAGTCCCGGCAATTTGCTTCCTGTCTAGGTTGTATGACGCACGCATCCAGTGACAATGTGTTCTTCGCCAGTGCTTGGGCAGAGAAGGAGCGGCGCGTTTTCTGCGCTGCTGGACGTCATTCCGGCATGCCAAAGCATGCAGCACAGCTATGAACAAAAAGTAACGACGTGGCCTCATACAGCAGCTTGTAAAAGCAGCCAGAGCGCAGAAGCAGAGCCCAGCAGTGCTGACCTGGCCACTGGCAAGTGGCTTCCGTGATTATTTGGAGACGGGCTTTTCAGCTCCATGGCCTTGTCCGCTTCCGAAGGAAAGCTTCATGACATCTGCACCTTGCAAGCCCCTTCCACTTTTAGCTCAGCTGCTACCAGGGTCTCCAGCACTCCACGAGGGCTGGTGTGGCATGCAATTTGCAAAGTAATCTCGAAGCAAGGCAACGCGAAAGCCACAGGGCCACGGCTCTCAGGCAGAATTGCCTCAAAAGTCTTCTCGCATGCTCAGACAAGCCAGCATGTCTAGGAAGCAGCCCTCAAAGGTGCCCTGCATTTGCCTATGTTGATTCGAGGGGTGTTGCATGATGCCGCCGCATCCGAGGCAGGTAGCTCACACAGGCTTCAACGCAGGGTGTGCTTGCAAGGAAAAACTGAGAACCTCTTTTCCCACATCTCCTCTCCCCACCCATGACTTCCAGCAACTGCTCAGGCCCCAACGGCATTGATGTTGAACGACACAAAGAGTGCGCCAACACCCTGGGTGTCTTTCAATCAGGTTAGCGCTGAAATCCTGTGACATGTGGGCCCTCCTCCGTGGATACGACCGATGTCCCTGACCTCAGCTTTACTTGTGCTTAGCTACACGCTGAAACTCCACGAGTGTGCTGCTTCCTACAACTTGGTGCGTTGCTCTAGCAATTGAAGGGAAGCCCTTCTGAAGCTCTCTTCTGCCTGCGTGGGGCACTGCACAGGCGCATGTACCCAACCAATACGAGCAAGAGTAGGCAGCTCAGCCATTCCAGCCGGCCTGTCGGCTACCGGAACGCCTCACGGCAATACCGAAGTTGGGCAGGACTGCCATGCCCTGAGCGACAACACAAACAGATTTTGCAACGTTGCTCTACACCCAGCATTAGTAAGGCCAGGCGGCTAGCCCCAAGATTCACTCCAGCCCTTCACATTTACCATGTTCAGAAGCGGCCCCGGATATTCCTAGTCCCCCCTCAGGCCATTCCACAAAGGCCTTTCCTGAAGGCCTCTTCGGCTAGGTGTACTTGGCACCTATGCACCTGGAATCTATCCACCACATCCCGCTCAGTGAACAACATCCAGCATTGCCAGCGCTTGACACAGCTTTTTCACCTGCGGCTTTGTTTGAGGCCATGCGATCTGCTGAGCGGCCTACGGCATTTGCCTATGGCTGGCATTCACTCTCAGCAGCACGTCCTCTGCTAAAGACATTTACAACACGCGGGCCGTGTGGAATTCACACATAACGCAACTACGAGATCGCTCTCAAAGTCAGCAGCACTCTACATCATACACGCTGCACTCACACCCGCGTGGCTCTTCTCTCCCACATCACTTGAGAACCTCAGCATCAGGCATGACAAACAAGTGATGTTTTTTATGCGAAATCCTGCTGCGTGCTTACTGTCTTGACAACGCAACTCCGCAACTCCTTCCCTTTTCCGTCGAGTCGGCCGCGCTGCTTGGTTCTGTTGCCAAGCCCTTTATTGCTGCAGGGGTGGCTGGTAACCTTGCAACATCAGCTCGGCGGCCAGCAGTCTCCGGCGTGTTTCCCTCCGGCACTCCTCCTGCCACACGCCCACGTCTCCTATCTAGTCCTAGTACTGCTTGCTTGACTGCAGAATGTGGAACAGCTATGTGTCCAGCATCGCGGCTTCACGCGCAACAATGAGGGAAACGGCCGAGAACAAGTCGGTGTCCTTCCCAATACCAGAGCCTTCCTAGGGGTAAGGGACAACACTGTGTAGGGATTGTATTCCCATATTCCCTAGTAACAACCAGTAAGAAGCACTGTGAGAGGGATTGGCTTGGAGATGCTTTCAAGATCTTGTAAAATGTGGCATTTCTCAACATCAGGGCACCTTCCCATGCACCTTCTCATTCGGAGACTCCATTGCTTGTCCCCAGGGTGTTAAACACCGGCTTCAGTCCTCCAACCCCAAATATTCAAGATTCTTTAAGGGAGACAACCTCGCGTAGCGGGGGAGATGGTGAATGCTGGAAATTAGCAGTCAAGGGCTGAGAAATTCACAGTGGGGCCCATGGCTTTGCAAAACTCCGGTATGTGGTCGCAGCAGATGCGTCACGACTGCAGTCCTCTTCAGGCACACGCCTCCACTCTTGTTGGCGTGAACATGTTGATTTTTCTTGAGGTGCGTGATAATTCAAGGGATCCTTATACTGTCCAGGTCTACAGCATGTGAATTTTGGGCTTCTTCTGGGACGATGAATTGGTTTAGACACCGTGACACCGTGCTTGTGGCTCTGTTTGTCGTAGTTGTAAACTGGTCAGATTCTGGTGCATATGGATTATTTACTTGTTGGGGTCGCAACAACGATCGGTTTGAGGTGCTCATAGGGGGCCGTTTGAAGGTTGAAACGCTTGTGCGTTTGTTTGTTCCTGGCTCAAACTGCAAATGCACCTAGCATTAAATTTGGCCAACACGCATCCGCAGCACAAGCAGCAGCAGCAGCAGCAGCAGCAGCAGCAGCAGCAGCAGCACCAGCAGCAGCAGCACCAGCAGCACCAGCAGCAGCAGCAGCAGGCGGAGATGACACAAAAACATGAAACACTAAAAGCACTTGCCAGCGCCGGACGCAAGGGAGGTTTCACATCGTATCACATCGTTGTGTGCGTGTTTTCGTCCTTGACGTCTGAATGACGTCAATGATGTAAGAGTCACCGAACAACACTCATGAAAATTTGGTGGTCTTGGGATCAGAAAACGCCATTTATTGACGTCAAGCGCAAAAAACACACACGCCATGAACACCGCCAGGCGTGGCCACTTCGCGGAGTCTGTAAGAAACCCGAATCTGTACCCCAGCCCCTGTTCAGTTGTAGTGCTGGCACGCCTGCATGCAACCAGCACCCCCAACGACGCCATGAAGGAGGGCCTTGAGTACAACAGGGGTAAATGAAGAGGAAGTGAAAGAAACGATGAGAAGAGGAAAGTGCTCTATACGTGAAGACCAGCGCTGGAGCCACCAACAGCAGTACTTGCACAAGTGAGTGGCTACAGAGCGCGACAGGTATGGAGCAACTGGCACCGAAACACCTGCATTTGGATCACTATATATGCCATGTGTTCACGCGCATGCACTTGAGGGCAGTTCCTGTTCTCCTCCCAGGTTGCTATTATTGCTACTGTTCTTACTATTGTTACGACCATCACTGTTTTTACTGTTATGGGTTGAGCTGCTGCTGTGAAATGGCGTTTGGAAGGCACAATTCCCAATGTCATGTCAATCTAGATCTTAGAGGATCCTGCAAACCCGGTTGGGGGTATGTGCGAGACCTTGCCCTTCATGACTCTGAACCGTAACCTCTGAATACGAAACCAGAATCAACATATGAGGAACCAAAGAACAACGCAACACATTAGAGCATGTCCAGGTTGTGATGCATGCATGCCGATTCCGATAAAACACAAGTGTGGCGTGGGAAAGGAAAGGTTTCTGGCAACCAGTACCCAAGCGATAGCAAGATAAACGCACGAGGAACCACTTAAGCAGGTCCTTGTCCTTGCAAGTGGCAGGCCAATTCACACTACTGCTGAAATTGAAGGAAGACACCTTTGGCACCTGGCCGCAGAACCCTTAAAGACTGAGCTCGCCTTGGCAATGAAGCCAGGGAAGGAGCTTCCAGCCACTTCACCAGAAGCGCAAGCGTGGCTGCATCCCACGGATTGGCTGCAGCCCTGACACCGGGAAACGTGATGCACCCATTGGCCAGTTGGCAAGCAGTTCCATGCTGATTCATCAAATTCCCAATGGCATGAGTTCATCCGTGTCCATGATCCACTTCATGCAGAGCACTGAGCTCGTGAATTGAAATACCCTTCGAAGATATAAGATATCAGATCGGAAACTTTTTCCGGGGAACTACCAACCCTCCCGTAGCCGGACAGCAGGCTACTTAGTCTACTGCAATGCCTGACTCGTCTGCGTCTCCCCATCCGCTTTGAGGTTGGCGCTTGCGAGGTAAGCTCTGGATGAGCCTCAGCTATGAGAAGGAACAGGATCAGCAGACTCCATTCTCCACTTCTCAAGGTCGCTCCGTCACACTGAAGAATCTACAAAACAGATGGGCACATCAATTTGCCTACCATTCTGGATGACACTGTCTGTTGCAAAGGCCGAGGGGCAACCATGGCTGCTAGTTGCCAAAGCGGAGCATCACAAGCCAGATCGTCCTCAACTGCAGCCCACTGCCCATCTGCTATGCCTGGGATGCATGCTGATTCTGCCAAGCGTAGCGTCTACCACTGGAGCAGGCGAGCTTCGGGGATTGTGAATAAAAGCGGCTGCGTCTGGTCGGTCCAGCCCCATTCTCTCGCCAATGTGCGGCGGGCCTCCGCTCGAGTGTCTCTGCCACAGCCTTTGTCTGTGCCGTCCAACACATCAGAGTGGACCTGAAATCCCGCCATATCGTGTGAGTTGGGACGTGAAGATGGTGGTATCCCGTACTGGACCAGTAGTGCTGCATCAGGTGCCGCTATGTACCTAAATGTAAGCGGTTCCCCTTTGGCAATACCACGATCTGCCACCATCACTACACATCCGTGTCTCTCCTGAAATGAGCAGGTCCAGCTGATCCTTCCAACTTCGTGGCAGCTTTGATGGTTAAACAGGTCAATGAACGGAAGCAGCCCAAGAGCTTCAACTTTGCCGCTTGGCCCTTTGAGGGCAAAGTTCCTCGTGATCACAGCGGCCAGGGCCCAGCTTCGTAGCTCAGGGCTGCTTCCATTCATTTTCAAGGCCAAGGCTTCGAGGCATCTGGAATTCAAGAAGTTGGCTTCCCGGTAGAGGCGCTGCAGCATGGGGCTTGCAGCAAGGAGGTCAACAGGCCATGCGCGCTTCAGTGGGTGTAAAGGCGGCGGCATGGCCACAGGGGGTGGTAGAGCCGCACAGTAAGCCCAGAATGGAGATATTTCACCTGTTGTGCAGAACCATGGAAACCCGTGACATATGCTAGAAAGCACTTGCACGTTTGACAAAGGCCAGTGCCTGCCAAGTACTCCTCAATCAACCGGGCCGCAGCATGCGTCACTGCTGCACGGCCCTCTGCGAAGCCCATGACATCATACCACTGTCCATGACCCCCAGCAGCAGCTGAGAAGGGCAGGGTCTTGAGGGATGGCCTGCTGTGCCCAGATACTGGCACTTCCAGCACTAGCCGACGGGGAACTGAGGCGACCACCTCTCCCTTCTTTACAGATCGGCCAGCACATACACCAAAGCCATGCGGCAATCTTTGAACCACAAGGGTCTTTCTATCAAGTTCCGCTCCCTCGCTCACAAGCTGCTCTCTCAGGTCTTCAATGTTCTGCAAGGTCCGGTGGTCTCCAAGGCAGCAGGCACTTCTCCAGTAGGACCGTCGAGGTCGCCATGGCACTGTGATGAGTGCTCTCATTCCACATCTCTACAAAAACAGGCTAGGCAACTCAAGCTTGCCGCAGCACTTGCCAGACTAAAACACTGCCGAACAAGTACGTAGCAAACAGCACTTCTTTCAATCTGCCGCATGGCACAGGCGGACAAGGACTGGCGTTTAAGTACGCGGTTATGCTGAAATCCTCGAATTGTGCGCATGTTGTGCTGTAAGGGAGCCTGCGCATCAAGAGCGTAGTCAGTCAAGTCTGCAGCCAAAACGAAACACAGCCCTGGCGTGGCCGCAGCATACCCCAAGGCCCGAAGGTGCGTGTTTCTTGGCGCCGGGACTCACTTGGGTCCAGAAGGCTCTCGCGCTGTTCGAGGCACAGCCTCTCCAGCAAGGCCTGGCGAAATGGAGAGCTTGCTGCATGTCCTCTTATGAATGAACGCATGCTTGAAGGTTGCACGCGCATCTTTGGCTTCTTCTTCAGCTGCTGTGACAGCTTCGCGTCTAGGCTTGCATCAAATCAGAAAATGTTTCAAGAGCTGCAAGGCAGACTTTTGACTTTTGATTCTGCCGGGTCCACAAGCGATTGCTCCTCCGGCGGAACTACAATGCTGTGCTCCAGGCTCATTCATGCGCACGTTGGCACAGAGCACATGGCTAGTTTGCATGAATCATTTCCTTGCATCTGGAGGATGATGCTGCCGATCATCAACCTCAATTGGCTTACAAGGCAACGGTACATGCAATGATGCGATTGCAGCATGCCAAACTTCCGCTAAACACAAAGCTACATGCAGGCCTTTGAAACGTCACTTGTGGAAGCGCCCGCACGTGATTTGCAGGGTCTCAGGGTTCAAGCTCGTCCGTGGCTTGTCTTGAGGCAGGGCTGAAATGAAATGCAACATGCGCGAGATAGTGGCGCTGATGCTCCTTCTCTCCTCTAAATCTTCAACAGGCCAGGTAAAAAGCATGCTGCTAACAAACATAAGAAGGACGTGCGACTGGTCCCGGCAGTGTCGCCGCATGCTCTGCTGCAAGCCGGCGGAGAGAGGCTGCGAGGGGCGAGTCTGCGCAAGGATGCCGATTACAAGCGTCTACATCTCAAGGTGCAGCAAATATTCGAACAACAACGCAGGTACACGAGGGCTAGGTTGCTTGTAAACCCTAATTTCAATAAGGTCGATTTTAATCACGCCGCGGAGTTTCGGGCGGACCAATCTCAAAACAAAGGTGCGAGTTCCGAGAAATTGAGGGTCGCAATGAAAAACTCCGGGGCTTGAGCTCTCTGTTACGTAGTACTAGAGTAGTAGTTGTAGCACTAGTAATAGTAGTAGTAGTAGTAGTAGTAATAGTAATAGTAGTAATAACAATAATAACAATAATCATCAAAGCAGTAGCAGCAGCAATAGGATGAAGAAGAGTAAGATGGAGGAGAGGATTTAAATTGGATTTCAATTGGCAACAAAATTCTTACAATTCTGGGGCTAGGGACTTTCATGATTACCACCCTTTCATAAAAACACCCCCTGAACCCCAATGTATGGATAGGCCGTATGAAGGAAATTCTGGGTTCACAATTGAAATCAAACCAAGAAATCTAAATCTGGAAAGTATGGGGGCCAGGGGACTTTTATTGCTAGCACACCTATTCTAAAAATGAACCTTAAATTAAACACTAAACCCTAAATAGTAGTTTCCATTTCATGTTCCATATTCTTTCCCATTTGATTTTCCATTAGTGCTTGCTCAGTCACCAACCGTACAGGTCCTAGTACTTGTGAGTTCAGCGGTACAGTAACCTGGTAGAAGCACCACACGTTGCCTCTCATCTAAGCATGGCCGAGTAGCCAGACAGGCAAAGTTATTGTGCTAAACACGAAAGACTAGCGGGGGGTTGGGGCATCTAGTAACTACTCATGACACATAGGGACTATTTGGGAATAGTCACATGTACTTAATTGTAGAAGAGAATGTTGTAGGAATGTCTAGGGATTTTTCTCTCTGTTCATACACACACATCTACACACATACCTTAAGAGGGTACGTTGGCCTCCCTGTAACAGTCTGTATTAGGTGTCACAATAAAGGCTATATAAGTATTAGTGATATCCAGCTGTTACAGCATGGGACCCAAAAAAACTGGATACTACCTAAGAATCTGGGCATTACCCAAGGGATACTGGATACTACCCTAAACCCTAAACCCTAAACCCTAAAACCCTAAGAATCAAGATCACCAGCGGCCTGAGGCTGGCTGCGCTGTCAGCATAGCCTGGCAACTGGAGGCCGGAAGTGGTGGTACGGCCACCGGGTTGTTCTCCAGTAGAAAGCCGCCCCTGCGCGAAAAGCACTTGCAGGTGGTATGTTTTGGGGGTCCCTATAGAAAGGATTATAATATTGTGGGGTCTATATAAAAACTAGCACTTGAGGTTCATAAGACTTACCAGCTAGATGTACTTGGATTTTTGTTCCTTTCTTGTACTTAGGAGTTGAGCTAGGAGAACATCCCAAAGCATCAGGGACCGAAAATCTAATCGGAGAGTACATCCCATGCACTTCAAGGCATCATCCACCCTATACCGCGTACAAACATGGGGACCTTCATGCTCGGAACCTCCTTTATGACTTTGAGATGATCTGTTATTTCCACTGCTGCTGTTGGTGCAATAGTCGCCACGACACGTGTTCTAGTCTTGAGATTGTGGCAAGCCTCGGCTACATTGTGCTGCAAAATGCTACCCGTATCGCCACGGAGACTCAGCGGGGCAAGGATCCCTGACAATGCGCGCCTGAAGAGTCGTTCAGAGTTGTCCACGGGTCTGTAGGCCTAGCGTTCAAGCTCTGTGCAGCCTGCACCTCCGAACTTCTCCAAAACTCTGTCAGCAGAAGCCTTTGGCAAGGGATCGCTTCGCTAAGAAGTATACTACGTACGGGTAGAAAGCTTCAGCTTTACAATTTGCAAGGCCTGTGTCAACTCCTGTCCACAGCGGACTTGGGAGTCGCATCTCGGAAGGATCCCATAGTACTCCACATCACCACAATCTGTTTCCAAACCTGAAGCTGAATCATGCGAGCTGTCGCGGCCCACGTAATCACAATGCCGTACGCTGGGCAGTCGAAAGCTCGCAGCAACCTCAAGCAATGCCATCCAGGGCACTGTCATAAACATCCATGTTCGGCTGGGGCTCCGTGTTCATCATGTCTGCAAGAGGCATGAAAGAATACCTGGGCTTGGGGCTGGCGATTGGGACTAGCTCCCATATCCCAACGCAATGCCAATAGAGCACACACACCCCATGCCGGGCAAACCACTTCAGTCAAAATGCGTCGGAGGCGGCAAGTACACACGTGTCTTGACCACTGTGGAAGCCCACAAAAAATCCTCATAGGTCAGCTCTGACAGGCCCATCCTCAGCAGGATGGAGAAAGGACTGCCAAAGCCTGTGATTCCACTCTGGGCTTGCCATGCTGACTGAGAAGGACATGGACAAGGAACGGACCCTTACAAGCAGTCCGGGTCGAAGACGGTAGCGTTAACTGCTGGGAGCCAGGGTTGAAATGCGTCCAGGTGGCTCTTTGGCCAGCTGCTGCCAGCTCTGGGCCTCTGCGCCCCACTTCTGCGCGAGGCCTTGCAGCCAGGCTCGAGTGCGCGCAACCACCGGCAGCTCCTCGAAAATCTGGAGCAGCTCCTGCGAAGCCTGCGAGAACCGCAAGGGGCTTTTGGGATGGCCTTTTGTGCGGGTCAAGTTTCAAGCTCAACATGAGACGTGATGTCTAGCAACCCGAGCCCAACTCGCGCAAGCCACGGAGGTCAAATGAGATCAATGTCTGTACGAGACGCCCTGCATGCAATGTCTTCACCCCTCAAAACTATCCCACATGCCTGAATGTCTGACAAGTTGCATATGCAATGTGGTACTCCTGCAGTTCGGCCTGTGGCTGACCAAAGCCCAACCAACCGGACTAAACTCGTCTGCAGTACCGGATCTAAGCTCTGGAATCCTGTGGCCATCAGAAGCCTGGAGCCAGAAACCGTCATCTTGTGAGCTATAGTCTAAAGCCCTATAATCGGAACCCTATAGTCGTATAGCCCCCTATACAAACCGCTTGAAGGAGTTTAGACTACAGCTCCTGTTGCTTGTATGTATCCAGCCTTGCTTGGCAACAACCGGATCCACGGAGACCAAAAGCTCTCCAGGCCCTGAAGTATCCTCCAGACACCAGGCAAGGACTCCTGTCCCTCGCTTGCTCTAATCAAAATGCGTGAAATTTGAGGACGTGCGGCATATTGTTTTTTTGGATTCCCCCGCGTGTACTTCTCTACGAGGCCTTTGCACTTTGCAGACATCGCCCAAGGTCCTCTGATTCTCCAGGGCCAACTTCAGGGCCAACTCTGTCTCTGAAGAGGCCATGAGCAGCAGGCATCTGGGTAAGATGATTGGAGAACTGACCTCCGAAACACTTGCCAGCAATGAATCACACAGGCACTGGTGCGCAGCAGAGGGCAGCCTCACTTGTGGCAACGAGCCCCCGCACTGGCCCGTCCGCTTTGGCCACAAACGCGATCTTCCTTGGAGACGAGCGGCGCGAGAAGAAACACAAAGGACAGCATTGCCTAGAGACGTAGCAACAAGAGACGTAGCAACAAGTCCTGGGAAGGATTAACCAGTGTTGCAATGATAATATGGGGTTTCCCCAAATTAGGGGTACCATTTTGGGAGTCCCCATAATGAGGCTTAAAGTATTTTGGGGTCTATCTTGAGGCCCCTATTTGGGGAAACTACCATATTTGCTATGCGGTTTCCTATGGCAACTGAGGCACACCTGCTCCAAGCCCTGTGCACCGTGGGATTCTGCCCAGGAGAGAAAGGCGTCCCACAACTCCTCTTTTAAGGCACTGTGGCCTTCCAGAATTTTTGAAAACCAAAGACCAGAATTAGCGGAAAGTATGTTACCGTACTTCTTCATGAACTATTACTATAGACTATACTCTTGTACACTGACAGAAAATCACTGGGCGGCGTGGCTTCAGTGTCACTCCTCCTCTGCGGCATCAGGTGACATCTTACACCATGGCCATCGGCAACAGGTTTGAAGTTCAGTGTCGTTGTACCCAGAAACTCCATGTTCTAGAATGTGGGAACAAACAATTGCTAAGCATCTTCCGGCGTGAGCTTGTCTAGACCTGTTTCCATTTGATCATACTTGTGATCGTGCCTAGGTGAGGCGTAGAAATTCATGCGCAGTGGGCGGGTGAATTTGTGGCAAACTGCCAGCCAGCGAACTGTTGAGCCAGGCACAAGTCGGTGTGCGTCAATCACCACGAGTCACTAAACAATCGGCCTGAGTACGTAGAAGCAACATCACACTAGGACTATGAGCAGCAGAGAGCGCCGGTAAACCCAGCATCCAATGGTCTTGATCGTTACGATCGCCCTCCATAAACTCGTATAGAGAGGCAGCCATCTGCTAAAGGGCTGATGCTGATGAGTTGTGACGTCAAACGTGCCTGTATCTGTGTGTAGTGTAGGGATCCATTTAATGGAAAAGCCCGGCACACCACAGTTGTCCTGTATGCACCCGCACGATCAAGCTGCACTGATTTCATGGCGCCTTGTTGGCTTTGGCGAGTTCCAGGCATCGCGAGACGCGGCCTTCTGCATCGGTGGCATCCAGGGCCTTGCGAAGGCCTGGCTGCAAGAACTGAGGGCCCCTATTGTGTGGTGTCGGTCCGGGGAGGTTTATGGGGACGTCCCTGTGGTCATATACGAGTTGTTCAGCGTTGAATGTGTAGTCCCCTAGATGCGCTTGAGATCATCCGATTCCAGTATGCAGTCCCGATAAACGCCCATGTAACCCTAGTTTTCATTTCAACTTTCCATGTTCTTTTCCGTTTGATTTGATTCTCCATTATTGGGACCCTGAACCTTAAAGCCCTTTTTGTTAAACTGCAGACTGAGGCCGGGGCTTGATTGCATCTTGCTGGATTATTAGCTCCCAAGCTATTCATAATTGGGGATCTTATCTATATGTAAGGCTATATAGGGTTAATGGAAAAGAAAATGAAAACTAGTTTTTAGGCTTTGTTTTTCAAGCCAGTAACATCAACATGCGAGGAGGAAACCCTGATCCCAGATAGTACTTTAGGGTTTAGGGTGTAGGATTCGGGGTAGGGTTTAGGGCGGAAAATGACCTGAAAACTAGAGTTCTAGGGACTACATATGAGCCCTATAAAATACCCCCGTCAAGGATTTTAGACTATAGCTCATATGGACAGCTCTGCCGCAGACCTCCAGAGGCCACAAGTGACCGCCGGATGCAATCAGTCTTGGCCTGGACCACAGGGACAAGAGCACAAATCAGGTGCAAAGCTTAACACACGGAGACCTACAACATAGTATAATATAGCACAACATGACATCATAGTGTATAGTAGAGATTAATGTAATATAGCATAATACCGTATAAATCCCCAGCAAGAAATGGCTGCTCTGCATGCAATCGATCTCAGCCCATGCTGCTGAAACAGCGGGATTCTAATGCGGCCTCCACAGCTGCCTTTGGCGCATCATCATTCCTCTCAGGCGCGTGGGTGATTTGCAGATCAGACTTGCAATCTACCTGCTGCATCATGCTGCTCCAGCCGTTGGGCAAAACAGTCCGACAGCCAGCACCATTATGGCAATTCTCGCAGCTTCAGCTTATTCATCCACAGTCATCCACCATGCACACCCATGTGACTCCTCATCCCTAGAAAGGAACTAACCTCATACGCGTCTTGCACAGTCTGTCGAGAAAAGCAGTCATGAAGCCAGTTTACTTCCCTGGCCTCTGGCGGGTGAGCTCGAGACGTGCGGCAGCCAGCTCCTTTATCGAGGTCTGGCTCTGGGGCTCGGCCATGCTTGCAGCAAGTCTGCTGACATCGCTCAAAAGGCGGGATAGGCGGGTCAGGTTTCTAGTCTATGATTCGCCAAAAAAGTTGTTTCCGCTCGGCTGGAAGATGCTCATCAATCAACGGCCGCTTTGAAGCTCCTCCTTGCACCGCCGGAGTTGGGCCTCAGCAGCCTCTCGGGCACGATCTGCCTGAGGTATGTGCGCTGACGAGCAAATCACTGCAGTTGCTGCTGACGCTGGGGTTGGCAAGGTCCTTGCTCCTTGAGAGCTTGCAACTATATGGTTCAGACCGCCTCGCTTTCACGACTGTAGGCCGCAGCGATTTCCTGGCACTTCATGCGCATGACTCATCAACCTTGCCTTTGCCTATTCCTGATTGAGCCTGCCTAGTCTGGCACATGGCCTGGACAACTGGAGCAACATGTCTTGTTACCAAGATGAAACGCTATGGCCTCTAGACTCGAGGTACAGCCGGCATTCCTTCGCAGCCTTCGCATGTTGTATGGGAGCGCGCCTCCCGAAATTCCTCCTCGCGGTGCTGAGCACGTTCCCGCATCTCCTGCCAGAAAGGAGCCGTAGCCATCTGAAGCCTCCCAGACCATGCTGCGGGTGGCAGGGTCCTGAATTCGCGCCGCATGATCCTGGCAGACGCAGGCCACCAGGGGGTCTTGGGCGAACGAACTCCTTTAAAGGGTACTCGGCAGCTCGGTCCTCGCGGAGCTGCTCAATCTCTGAGGGGCCGTATTCAGCCCAAGGATCCTTCCTCAGATCACCACTTACCCATGCACAACGAGGGCGGCTGCGAGACTTCAGGCATGAAGCTCTCGCGATACTTTCGCATGATTGCAAAAGCTAACTAGAGACGCATCCGCATGTGGTTTTTTGTACATGCGCGAGATACATGCTCTACGAGAAGTGCTCTGGCCAACATCAAGAGTTGTAGCATTTCCATCATGCCAAAGGAGCGGAATGGAGCGGAGTTGAGCGATATCCTGTACTGTAGAAGATTCGCGCATAACAAAATGCCTCAGTTCTCGCCAAGTTTCGCTGGATCCAGCTTGAAGCCGTCAGGATCAGCAAGCCAACTCTCTCGCACCTCCACTGGGCAAGTCCATTCAGCACAATACATTTCAAGCGAGGCTTACTTCATGTTTGTCTGTCCATCAAGGTGCGATCTTGCAGGGAACGTCCAGGAGCTCATGCTATGCAACGGAAGATGGGATATAGTACATTTGTCGCGAAGCGGCTGTGTCATCTGGAGCTCTGTGAACCGGGCAGCGTTCGCATGTGCAGGCTGCACTGTGGCCACAGTGATGAAACATGCCAGACCGAAGCCAGGTCGACTGATGGTGAAAAAATATGGGCTTCCTCAGAGGGCTGGTTGGGCCAGTCTCTGAGTCACCCTCTAGTTGGCTGCAGAGAATTTCGGAACTATTTGCAGAGGTTGCAGCCTCCACTGCGTGCAACTCATGCCTACTCATCCCGTCTCTGACCAGGCATCTACTCTGATAACATGGCTATGGCTGCAGGACATCAACAAAAAAGCTTGCGAACGCCTTGTTAGCCTGCTCCTCACTAGGCCGCACTTCTGCTTCGCAGATTCAACCAGTCCGGAGCCCCAATGCTAGTTGTGTCATTGTCAATGCGGTGCTTGGCTACTTGCTGGCAAACGCTTGGCAGAGCCTTCTAAATAGTCAAAGCCAGCATTGCGCTGGGGCATCCGGGCGGCCAAGTGGGTACACAGTCTTCGACTGGAAGACTTAACCCGACAGCTTGCACGATGCAATCCGGCAGTGACTACTGCAGGTCCGGAAGAGATGGTCGCAGCTCACACGCTTCAGCTATACTTCTGACTTCTACGAGATCATGTCCTGAGACCATCATCGGTACTGACCAGTCTACAGATTGCACGGAGGGCCAGACATTGACTCCTGGCCAGTCTCAGCATGCACTCACAGCATAAGAATACATGATGCCTTCTGCGCAGAAGCAGTGCAGTCGCCGAGCTACTGGCTAATTTCAGCACACCTGGTGCTCACAAGTGCGCCTGCCGGAACAGATCTACACCCTAGGCGAGTCAGGACAGGGTGTGGCACTGTGGCTTCACTTCTAACCCACCCCTACGTCGGCTAAAAATTATGCCGCCTATTGACTAATGACTTCTAAAATGCTTATAATGACTAATGCGCCAAAGCCCGGCCACCAAACAGCTGGGTTTGGAGCTCAATGGGCATTAATGCGAGCAGCGATTGTCCTGTATGTTGCCCAGGCATTCTCCAAATCCAAGCCGAGTTGGTTGTACATTACAGCTGCACCTGCATGGCCCCGAGACCCAAAAGCTTTACTGCTTGCTGTGGGGACAATCTGTCAGTGTCTACATACATATATATAGATCCATGTATCCCTTCCAGAAAGCCTTGTTTGGATCTCAGAATGTGACAACACGTTCTGCGTTCTGCTTTGCCCGTGATGCCAGGGGAGCTCAGGCGCTTCCAGTGCTACTTGACCATGCGTCATTTCCACACGGGCCAAGAAGCCAAAGGATTTCGAGCGTTACATGTAGGCCCATGCTACAAACTGCGGGTGCTTGCGGGCCATGATGTCACGTTAGCATCCAACAGGTCTTTCAAACTCACATCAGTCTGCACTGCCCACAGAAGCATAAAAATTGACGATGGGTGCCCCGTAAGAGACGCACCACCTTCCTACGATTCCTCGTTGTCTTCACGCACTCGCATCGCTCGAGCAAGCGAGACACGCGCAAACTGTTGGAAGTGCAATGCCCGATCACAAACCGCCACCTGTCGCGCCTGATGCAGAGCAGAGAACTCAAGCTTGAAGGTGACATTTCCCCGAGGCGGCTTGGCCTCATCAATGGAGAGGTCATTCTCATTATCCTCGCTCATCATGTTTTCCATAACTGCGGCCATTAGAATGCCAACTGTACGCAGGTACCTTGGCTTTGCCCAGCAGTACATAGCATCCAGCAACTCACATCTGAAGGAAGTGTGGGCTGAGGCACAAGTAGCAGAAGCCGCCCGTCTCTATCACCAAACGCACAAACTTCCCGACATCCGCATAGGTGTACAGCGCTGCACCTTTGCTTGCTGCACATCTGATGCACTTGGACCTAAGCGCTAATTAGTTTCACGGCGCATATTCTGCCGTGTGGTTTCAAAGGGCTTGCACAAGAGCAGAAGTTGGCCGGATCAGCCGTTCGTGTGTGAATTTCCAGCGCTTCGTGTCTGCAGTTGAAAATCTGCGGTTTCTAAATCGTTTTCCATGCAGAAAAGGGCCTTCGTACTGTATCATATAGGCTAGAGTCCCGCTTTCGGGGTCCCCGAAACTAACGCGGAAACCACCTTCGTGCTGTAAATTCTCACACCAACAAGGCGCGCAAGAAGCTGTTGTCTTCTAGAGCAGGCTCTCAAGTGCGGCTAAACTGGTAATCGCATTCATCAATCAAAAGATAAAACGGAATTCTGGGTTGGGCATGGGTGCTCTGGTAATCGCATTCATGAAAAGATGAACGGAATTATCGTTTGGACGTGGATGCTCTGGTAAGCGCATTCACAAAAAGATGAACAGGACTATGGTTCGGGCATGGATGCTGCGGTGACCATATGAGCGGTGGTTTTTCTTCCTTATTGATTTCTTTGGAAATAACAACCCTT